AACCAATGATTATTAATTATTTTGACCTATTGTCAAATTATTTTATGAAGTAAGATTTCATGAGCTAAAACCCACGATTATTAGCAATTTTTTATCATTTCGAACCAATGGTACATTGTTATTGTTTTGCAGAGGCAAAAAACTTCACGATTTTGTGAGCTATCCATATTTTTTGGCCATTTTCAGTCATTTCGACCTGTTGTCAAATAGTTTTACGGATGTAAAAATTCACAATTTCATGAGCTATAACTCCTGATTTTTAGTTATATTTAGATGTTTTGACCCATTGGTAAATAATTTCATGGAGGCCAAAATTCACTATTTTATAATCCACGATTTTTTTACCATTTTTAGTCTTTTTGACCTTTGGCAAATAATTTCGCTGTGGGCAAAATTCACGAATTCATTAGCTATATAATCCACACTTATTTGTGATATTTAGTCATTTTGCTTTAATGTCAAATTATTTCGTAGAAGCCAAAATTAAAGATCTCATGAGCTAACCCACGATTTTTGGCCATTTGTAATCATTTCCACTCATTGTCAAATTATTTTTACGGGGGCTAAAATTAAAGATTTAATGAGATATAACTCATAAATTTTTGCCATTTTTAGACATTTCCAACTGTTGACAAGAAATTTCATGGAGGCCAAATTTTAAGATTTTATGAGCTATAACCCACGATTATTAGCCATTTTTAGCTATCTCGAAAAAACGGTAAATAATTTTACAAAGTCTAAAATTAACGATTTCATGATCTAACCTACGATTATTGGACATTTTTAGCTGTTTCAACGCATTGGCAAATAATTCTGCGAATGCCAAAATTCACGATTTTGTAAGTTAACCCATGATTTTTGGCCATTTTAGATGTTTTGAACCATATCAAATAATTTCGCGGTAGCCAAAAATCACGATTTCGCAAGTTTTAACCTACTATTATTGGCTATTTTAAGTGATTTTCACCTATTATAAATTAATTCGCAAAGGCCAAAATTATAGATTTCATAAGCTATAGCTCACGATTATTATCAATTTTTAGTCATTTCGAACAAATGGTAAATAATTTTGCGAAAGCAAAATTTTACAGTTTCTTAAGCTATAACCCACAATTCTTAGCATTTTTTTACCATTCCGACGTATTGGCAAATAATTTTACAAGGACTAAAATTCACAATTTCATGAGCTACCCATAATTTTTAGGCATTTTTAGTTATTTTGACCATTGGCAAATAATTTAGTGGTAGCCAAAATTCATGATTTCATAAACTATAAACCAGTGATTATTAGCCATCTTTAGTCATTTTGACTTGTCAAATTATTTCACAAAGTAAGATTTCATGAGCTATAATATATGACTATTGGCACTTTTTGTCGTCTCAAACTGATGGTAAACAATTTTGCGGAGGTAAAAATTTACGATTTCGTGAGCTACCCATAATTTTTGGCTTTTTTAGTCGCTTTATATCGCTAGCAAATAATTTTGCGAAGGCCAAAATTCACGATTTCATAACTTATAACTCATGATTGTTGACTACTTTCAGCTATTTTGACCCGTTGGCAACTAATTCCACATAGGCCAAATTCACAATTTCGTGAGCAATAAACCATAATTTTTTATCATTTTTAATTATTTTGGACAATGACAAATAATCTCACGATGGCTAAAATTCATGATTTCATAAGGTAGCCTACAATTATTAGCCATATTTGATCATTCTGGCCTGTTGTGAAATTATTTCATGAAAGCCAAAATTAAAGATTTCATGAGCTATAACCCATAATTTTTGGCCATATTTCGACCCGTTGACAAGTAATTTCGCGAAGGCTAAAATTCAAGATTTCCTGTGTTAAAGCCCACAATTATCACAATTATTGAACATTTTTAGTCATTTTGAACTTGTGGATAATTTTGGGAAGTCCAAAATTCATAATTTAATGAGCTATAATCCACAATTATCGGACATTTTCAATCGTTTCGAACCATTCGCAAGTAATTTAATCGAGTCTAAAATTCAAGATGTCATAAGCGATAACGCATGATTTTTGGCTATTTTTTTGTGATTTTAACCTATTGGCAAATAATTTCGTTGAGGCAAAAACTCACGATTTCATAGGCTAGAACCTACGATTTCCGTTAATATTCATTTATTTCGATCCAATGATAATTAATAATGAATATTTCAAAGTCCACCATTTTCTTAGGCTATTATTCCCTTTGATTTCCAAACTTAGCAAATTGCATGGGTTATAACACGATCTCAGTCAAGTATTGTTTGTTTCCACCCAATGGCATTTTTCCAAAAATATGATTAACATGACCAATATATCCAATGATTTTTGCCAATTTTCCTTTTTGTCCCAATGACTTTTTTGTCTATTTTTGTCAGCTTCCACCAATGACAATTAAAACTATTTTCATGTAAAAAATTCATTTTTCACGGGTTATATAAACCCATGATTTATCATTTTTATTTTGACCAAATGGCAAATAAGTAGGTCTATTAAAAAGTTCGTAATTTTCATGGACTATGATGGTCCTAACCATTTTTGTTGATTTTAATCCAATGGCAATAGATCGCACGAACTTCAACAGTCGTAATTTTTTTAGGTTATAACTCATGATTTTTGTCCATTGACTATATTTGACTCAATGACAATTAATTGTGACTACTTCAAAATTTATAATTTTAACGGGTTATAACCGACGATTTGATAGCTTTTGTTCGTTTCGTCCCAATAACAAATAATTATACATAATTCAAAATTAGTGATTTCAAAAAAACCGATGAATTTTGACAATTTTTGTTTGTTTCAACTAAAGGCAATTGATTTATACGACACTTTAAAGTTCTTGATTTACATAGGCTATTTCCACGAATTTCAAAATTCTTGAATTTTACGGGCTATATAACTCATATTTTTGGTCAGTTTTTTTTATTTTGGCCCAATGGAAAATAAATCAGTATACCTTAAAATACACTATATTCATGTTTATTTCAACAGAAGCATCACCCATGAAAATTTGCATGCAGCTGCATTATCCCATGGTCAAACAGGTGTCCTGACTAATGATAGGTGATCAGAATAAAAACTTTAATTTTAATTCTAGAACAAGAATACAGTGAATCAAACAAACAACGTTAACTCAAGGCTGAATGGAAGCAACAGGTCTTGAAAAGCCAGAACGAGAAGATTTCAAACATGGAAGAACTTAATCTACTTGAATTGAAAGTGAGTTGGCTACCATCTTTCTCTTTGAATGCAAAATGAAGGTCTGTAAATTGGAAGCAATCATTGGATTTGTTTTTCAAGGGTAACAATTTGTAACTATTTTGAGAGCCTCTGGTTTAATCTATATAAAAGGAATTAGGCATAAGTGTGTAAAATGTGAACTACGAAACTAAAAATGTTATAATTGAAGTGGGTTTCTAAGTACAGTCAACAATTTTTTCAGATGTTTCAGTGAATTATTTTTGCCTAGTTACCCTGACTTACTGAAACCTACATACCGGATCTTAAGCTTTAAAAACTGTGGCCTTTTCATATTGAGAAAAAATGTTAAGTTCATGATGCATGGATACTGAGTGAAGGATGCATATGTACCGGATTCTCTATTAATATGTGCTCAGATCTGAATATTTCCTCTAAAGTAATAAACTATTGATATGTGCTCAGATCTGAAAATTTCCTATTTATTTCTCTTTAACATTAAGAATCAGAGAGAATGAACTATTAATTTGTTCATTTTCTATTTATTTCTCTTTAACATTGAGAACAAATCTTTGAAAAGACACATTAATAAAGATATTATTATACTTAGTTGATGATTTATGGTAGTGAATTTTAATATTTGATAATATTTTTTGGGACAGGTCAGTTTCATATTTTATAATTTTTCTACCCAAGTAGGATTCAAACCTACGACCAGTCAGTTAACATCTGACTGCTCTACCACTGAGCTACTGAGGAACAACAGGAGATTCGACCTCATAAAGTTCAACTTCCGTTCTCAACCCATGGGTCTTAGAATCAGTGATAAGGAACTTATATGGTTTTCAAGTGATGGAGAAGGTCGTTAAGAAGATCTCGGAGTAGGAAATTTCCACTCCTAAATATAATCCAAGACCCCATTTAAGCCTGCAATTGTTCTATTTCTTTGCTCTTATTTCTCTTCTTTTTACTGGCTTTGTTTCTTTCCCCACCTAATGATAAATATACGATATTATAATGTTTGTCTTTGAGACACGATATAGTTAAGAGGATAATTTGTATTATTTTGTATGATGAACTTGAACTAAAATATGCATCAAGAGATAACTCCTTCGTAAAAATTCATGATTGGTTGTCACTCAAGTGACCGACTCGTGAATATATATTATATTGAATGTAGAGTTTTGTTGCTATATTGTTTTATTAGGCCATTATGTGTGAGTTGTTGGAGTAGTATTGTTATATTTGCACCATACAATATTATTAGACATCTATTTTCCAAATGCAACTCATTTGAAGTTCTTCATAGTTGCTAGCTATAGGAATAAGTTTGTATAAAAATAAAATTAAGATCAAACAACATTAATGAATTGTAGAAAAGAGGCGAGGGCCGTGCTTGGCATGGGGTACACACTAGTACTCCATGAAGATAGCATATGTACTTAATTCTCTACTATGTAGAAACCTTTAGCCGATACTTGTTGCTATTATAATTATTCCTTCCTAAAATGTGTAAGTTCGGATTTAATGACAGCAATATGTGTCACAAAGAAGGGAATATTCAATGGCTGAATAGTAGGGTTTGTATTCAAATTGATCGCTAGAAATAATAGGATAGTACAACAACCCTCCGGGCCCAATCCTGTACCCAAACCAGGACTTGAATGGTAGGATTTCATATTGACTAACTGTTATCCACTCATCAAACCATTTACTCCCCAATTACGAAAAAATATGAAAAATGATTAGAGAAATTACACCTGGAGATGTAGCCATGAAATAATACCTGATTAGATGCAAGAGAGCAGTAACCCTTTAGTTGCAATTATCTCTCGTTATGCAAATAATATTAGCCTGTCCTGCAAAAAGGTTGAAGGGTTTTTCAGATGTATAACCTTCAAATCATATCTATATAGAAAAGGATACTTTCCAAAAACAAATTTTCCAATATCTCAATCTGCTCCCTGTTCACATGGACGGTAAGACTCAATAACCAAATCATTTAATATCCACTTACATTTAGGGGCTGTTTGGTTGATGTATTTGACATTGGGGGTTGGGCAGAAAGCCTACCAAAAGTGGTCTTTTAGCAGGCTTTCTGCCCAACCCCCAATGCCAAATACATCAACCAAACAGCCCCTTACTATCGCTATCCACTAGCAGTGTCCTCAAACATAGTTACTATAAAACAAAGAATTCTTAATTCTGTCAAACATAGTAACTCTTAAACAAAGACTTCTTAATTATCGTCAAACCTACAGTCATGAAAAAAAGGAAAACAGAAAAGGTAAAATTCATGCTTAGAAGATAAAGCTCTCTAATAGTTGTAGTGGCAGAATCATGGGGATCTTACTTAGCCATGTAGTTTCAACTATGACATTATAAATTTGAGTGAATCTATCTACCTCTGCTCCCAAACATTCACATTGCCAGCTTCTAAGCACATCCATGCCTACAAGATATCAGACATAGTGAACACTTACCTCAGCCAATTTCCAATGTAACAAGCAAGAAACAAGTAAATAATTGCCATCTTACATTCATGAAAGCAACAGAAACTGAAAAAGTAAAATGCATGCCCAGAAAGATAAAGCTCTCCAAGAAATCAAACTAATTGCAGTGCCAGAAATCAGCTTGGAGATCTTACTTATTCAAACTTCCACGCCTTCAAGTATTTGACACTATAATTTTGTATGTTTAATCTTTCCTCATGTGATCCTAACTATTCCATATTTCCGAAGCATACATTTACCTGCAGATTAAAATGGTTTTAGCCAGTCTCTTGAATATCACTCTATTACTGATATCAGACCAACGAGAACATTAATAAAATATATATATATCAAAAATAAGCAAGAGACTTACCGTCAGACCTTCAAGTGTTAATCGTCTATTCTATGACTGGGTTAAGACAAAAATTCACTCTCCAATGGCAATAAATAAAAATTAGAAGTTTAGAATATGGAGATAAAGGCTGGGAAACCATAGTACATGAACCAAAGATAGAAAGAGAAATTAACATCAGCCAGCTAATTAAAGATTTGGAATGTGGAGGAAACCTGTTGTACGAAAATATATCAGAACCAGAGTATAAAATTATGTCATAGTCATAGAAATATATTTTTGATTAAAATATGCTACCTTCTTGGCATTTTTGAGCTCAGTCCTATCTTTATAAAAGTATGAATCTTGTTTTCACACTTAACTGACAGATGCAACATTCCTGGGTAGGAACAATCGCCTCATGAAAGTATGTCATAAGAGCTGAAGAGAAGGTAAAAGAGGGAACATAATCAGAATGATGTCTGCAAAAGCATCCACTAGTTAAGTTTATATATAATGACCCAAATAAGAGCTAAGATGTAAAGCTATTAAATACCAATTTAGTGAATGTTGTTGATACTGATGAAGTAAGAGTCTGCCTCACACAATTCCAGAATGGCATCCTTCGAATTACTGACATCCTTATTTTTTGCAGTATAAGAACCTAAAAAACACACTTACAAAAAGGAAGAAGGATTAAGTAAATTAAATGGTAAGAGATGATCCTGAGCGTATTAATTCCATTCAGAAACAAATGAAAGGTACTTAGGCCGATCCAAATTCAAAGCCATCACAAGAAGTGTTTGTGTGTGCATGCATGCGCAAGCGCGCGTGCAGGGGCAGGTGGCTAGCAGAGAAAAAGAGAGAAGAATTCACATAACAGGAAATAAAAGAATTTCAGTTATGGTTCTTATCTAGGGAAAAACCAATGGCATATTGCAGTTAACTTTAAGAAGATAATACTTTCTCCAATGTCAAGAATGAGAAGTAAATCAATGTGAAGTTTGAAAGATCTTAAAAATGGAAAGGAAAAAAAAAGAATGAAAAGTTATTGAACTCAAAGAAGAAGAAAGAACAGATTTTTGAGGGGGGGCTTCGATGATGGGTAAGGGTTTGATTTTTTTTTTCTTCGTTGTTGTGATTTCTGAAGGAGATCGACCCTCCTTTTATAGGGGCTAAGCTCACTATCTCCACCCCCCTCAGATCCGCCCCTTAAAAGATATTCTCTCAACAAACCCACGTTCTTCTCAAATGAACGTTGATTTGGTCATCCATGACCAAGTCAAGCTAACATCTCCCACTTGACCAAATCAACCAAGTGAATGCCTCCCACTATCCGTGAGATCAGATGTTTCTGCTTACCATTACTCCCACTATCCGTAGAGAGTAACTCTTATTTTATTATTCATGATATTTTACTTGGACTTATTTATTCCTAAGTCCCATCAAACTTACATGTTTGATAAAAGATTTCGCTGGTATTCCTTTTGTCAAAGGATCAGCAATCATATCCGTAGTAGGGATATAAGTCACTTTAACTTCTCTCTTTTCTATAATATCTCGAATATAGTGATACTAGATCTCAATATGTTTTCCTTTGGAGCTATTCGCGCCACTATTGTTTAAGCTAATTGTTGTTTGATTATCACAATAAATATCAATAGGTCCTTTTAACAAATTGAGATCAAGATCAATCAAAAACCGTCTTATCCAGACAGTATGTGTAGTTGTCATACTGCAAGGTATATATTCAGCTTCTTGCGTATATCTAGCAACACACCCTTGTTTCTTGCTACTCCAAGAAACAGCTCCTCTAAAGATGAATAGGTGTCCCGAAGTGGACTTTCCATCATCTTTATCACCTCCGAAATCAGCACCGGAATAACCGAGGAGTTCAAGCGAATCAGCTTGATAAACTAATCTATGAGTCAATGTACCTCTGATATACTTCATAATCCTTTTAATAGCTTCCCAATGTGCTGGTCATGGATTACTTTGATATCTACTGATTAGACTCACAACATAAGCTATATCAGGTCTAGTGCACAATATTGCATACATCAAGCTTCCAATTGCTTGAGCATAAGGAACATCTAATGGCTTCTGCTCTTCTCCAGGGCTTTGCTCTTTACATAATCTCTTTTCCATAACTAACGGAGTTGGTACCGGATTGGAATTCTCCAATCCAAATCTTTTAAGAACTGATCTTAAATATTTTTCTTGGTTTAAACTTAACATTCTAAACTTTCTATCTCGAATTATTTGAATTCCAAGAATATATGATGCATCTTCCATGTTTTTCATCTCAAACTTTTCGCTGAGATCTGCCTTGGTTTTATTCAATATTTCTATGTCATTTCCAGCGAGCAATATATCATCCACATATAAGGATAATATAGTAAACTTGCTCCCATTTTTCATGACATATACACAATTGTCTAATTTATTTTGAATAAAACTAAGTTTAGTAACTGCATCATGAAATTTAAGATACCATTGTCTAGAAGACTGTTTTAAACCATATAGAGATTTTATTAATTTGTAAACTTTATGTTCCTGTTCTTTCACCTGAAAACCTTCAGGTTGTTGCATATATATTGCTTCCTTCAACTCTCCGTTAAGGAATACAGTTTTAACATCCATTTGGAATAATTTCAAATCAAGATATGTAACAATAGCTAAAATAATTCTAATGGATGTAAATTTAGCTACAGGAGAATAAGTCTTCTGAAAATCTATTCCTGCCTTCTGGTTATAACCATTGGCAACTAACCGTGCTTTGAATTTATCAATAGATCCATCAACACGATATTTTTTTTTGAGCACTCATTTGCATCCTATGGGTTTTCTATTTTCTGATAGATCACATAACTCCCATACCTTATTCTTTTCTATGGAATCAAGTTCTTCTCTCATAGATTCTAGCCATAAAGCTGATTCATGCGATTTCATCGCATCAGAAAAGGTTAAGGGATCTTGTTCTTCTATATTTATATCTACCAAGAAACATGATGGCTCACATGAATATAAATAATAATCATCCATCCATGAAGGTTGTGTTCTTGGCCTTTTGTTGCCTATAACCGGTTGATTATGTACATTATTTTCCATAGGTATTTTATCGTTTTCAAGGTTAGGTTCATTCACAATATCAAGGTCATTAGTGGGAACAACACTGTAATAATCATCATCTATTACAGTTAGAGGTTCTGTTTCCTCTCGAACTTGTTCCTCTTCCTCTAGATTCTCTAGAAATGTAACATCTCTGCTTTCAATGACTCTTTTTTCTTTATCGTAGAACTTATAATAACTTTTCTGAATACCCTGTGAATCTACACTTTATTGTTTTAAAATCCAACTTATCTCTAAGTTGACATGGAATGAGAACATGAGCTATAGATCCTCACTTCCTGAGATGACTCAAATTAGGTTTCCTTCCATTCCATAACTCATAAGGTGTAGATACAACTGATTTGGTGAGAATTCTATTTAAAATTTAGTTTGCAGTTAATAGTGTTTCTCCCCAAAAGTTTTTAGAGAGACCAGAATGAGACAACATGCATCTAACTATATTTAATAATATTCTGTTCTTTCTTTCAGCAACACCATTCTGTTGTAGCGTATACGATATTGTTGTATGTCTTTTAAATCCATGTTGAATACAATAACTTTTAAATTCTTTAGAATTATATTATTCACCTCTATCAGTTCTCAGAATTTTGATTTTCAATCCAATTTAGTTTTTAACTTCTGTCTTATATCTCTTAAAACAGTCAAAAGCTTCTAATTTTCTAGATATATGATAGACGTGTGCAAACTTAGAATAATCATCTATAAAAGTAATAAAATATTTTTTATTACTATGAGTTTTGACACTTAGGGGACCATAAATATCCGAGTGTATCAACCCTAAAAGTTCATTGGCTCTCTATCCGCCAATAAAAGGTTTTCTAGTCATTTTACCAGTTAAACAATGTTCACATAGTGACAATTGAACATTAGATAGTGCAGGTAGCAAGTTCATTCTGATAAATTTTTTTATTTTTGAAATACTAGCATGTCCTAGTCTCGAATGTCATAATTCAGACTCAGAAATATAACAGGATAAGTGGTTCAAATTCGAAATTTTATTATCAGAATTATTACAAACTACTGGAAGAATGCATGATTCATGTTCGGGCACATATTTTCCCATAACATACACTTTATTATTCTTGCCTATAGAAACCATGTTATTATAGAACCTAACTTTCAGTCCTTTCTTCATCAAGCTGGGAACAGAGATCAGATTGCGCCGAATTCCTGGCGCATAGAACACATCTTTGAGGATAAGAATCCTGTCCCTAAGATCCAATCCATATGAACCAATACCTTCTACATCGAGATAGGTATTATTTTCCATATAAATTCTCTGTTCTCCTTTCTTAAGCTCGGTGAATTCTATGACTCCTTTCTTATCCTTTGCGATATGCCTAGTCGCACTGGAGTCGATCCACCAACCACTGATATCCGTCATCACAACATTACATTACGAATTCTCTTTTGCGATATGTCTCCCTTATTCTCCTGTTTTTCACCTTGTGGGCAATTAAGCTTGAAATACCCGAACTTTGCATAATTATAGCAGGTTCCGCGGGGTACTTTCTTTCTCTTGAACTGCTGTGACTTCGGTCCTTACGGTTGTGGTTTACTAAGACTAGGGTTTTTATAGCTTCTAGTATTATGCCTCTGGCGGACATAATTCAACTCCTGCTACACCATATTCAGTTCTGGTTCCTTCCTACTGGCTATTAAGTCATGTTCTATCGCTAGGTGCATAGGAAGATCAGTGACAGACTTAATGACAGGATTCATTCTTAATGTGATGGTAACCACAGCAAGTGAAGGGGGAAGACTATTCAAAATGATTACAACTTGCGTTCTTTCTGGGATTTCGGTCCCAACAATGGATAAGTCCTTAGCCATGACAATCATTTTATTTATATGTTTTACGACATTGTCTCCCTCTTGCATACGATAAGAATTATACTTATTGATACGGGTGTATCTTCTCTTCGGAAAAGCAATCCTCATGGGAGCTTGAGGATAGGTGATTCTCATGATATCTTGATAATAGAGGCGTGGTTGAAGCCATAGAGGACGGCGAAAGAAGTCAGAAGGAGTGGAACGCAGAAGATCAGGAAAAACAGGGTCGGGTTCTGACCGGTCGACCGGAGAAACCTGCACAAGGCAGGGTTTACAGAAGCGCTCTGGCCGGTCGACCGGACCAGGATTGGCGGTCGACCGGATCGCGATATTTGGCTTTTCCTGGTTCATTTTGGATTCTATTTTGACAGGGATTCCTGATCCTTTTGGACTTGTTTATTTACAAGATTACCACCACGTTGTAAACCCTATAAATAGGGATTGTTTAGGGTTCTAAACAAGGAGGTTAGAGGCCAAGATGTAGTCCTAAAGGGTTTTAGGTCTAAGTGAAATCCTGATCAAAAGGATTAGGGTTTAGATTGTAATCAGATCTCAGAGAGAAGTGATCAAGAGAAATTCTAATAATTGTATTAGGGTTTAGAGAGAGAGTTGAGGGGTTGTTCTCGATTCTAGTGAGATTATGAGGGAGAGATTGTAATCTTTTGTTCTTCATAATCTAGAGAAGGTATTTTCCTTCGCCTTATACTGAATTGTTCTTGTGTTTTGGTCATCCTCTTCTCAATCCACCTTTTGGTAATTCCGCAACCAAAGGGTGCTCGCACGGCGACTCGTATCAAGTTGGTATCAGAGCGATTAGATCCTGTGGAAGGGGGAACCTGTGGATGGTCCTTACTCGATCGTAATACAAGAAGCTTGGCGAGATCCTTTTTCTTTGAAAAGAGTTCAGAGACTAAGGAATAAGAAGATGACTGAAGAAAACAAAGATGGAGGGGCTCGAGAGTTTCGAGACTAAGGAATAAGAAGATGACTGAAGAAAACAAAGATGGAGGGGCTCGAGAGTTTCCTCAGCTGAATACTAAATTGAAAGGGACTTCAAGTTTCTAAAGAGGGGACCCATGATACGGGTGTATCTTCTCTTCGGAAAAGCAATCCTCATAGGAGCTTGAGGATAGGTGATTCTCATGATATCTTGAGAATAGAGGCGTGGTTGGAACCATAGAGGACGGCGAAAGAAGTCAGAAGGAGTGAAACGCATCTGGCCGGTCGACCGCGGCACCCATGCCGGTCGACCGGAAAACCTGCACAAGGCAGGGTTTGCAGAAGCGCTCTGGCCGATCGACCGGACCAGGATTGGCGGTCGACCGGATCGCGATATTTGGCTTTTCCTGGTTCGTTTTGAATTCTATTTTGACAGGGATTCATGATCCTTTTGGACTTGTTTATTTACAAGATTACCACCACGTTGTAAACCCTATAAATAGGGATTGTTTAGGGTTCTAAACAAGGAGGTTAGAGGCCAAGATGTAGTCCTAAAGGGTTTTAGGTCTAAGTGAAATCCTGATCAAAAGGATTAGGGTTTAGATTGTAATCAGATCTCAGAAAGAAGTGATCAAGAGAAATTCTAATAATTGTATTAGGGTTTATAGAGAGAGTTGAGGGGTTGTTCTCGATTCTAGTGAGATTGTGAGGGAGAGATTGTAATCTTTTGTTCTTCATAATATAGAAAAGATATTTTCCTTCGCCTTATACTGAATTGTTATTGTGTTTTGGTCATCCTCTTCTCAATCCACCTTTTGGTAATTCCGCGACCAAAGGGTGCTCGCACGGCGACTCGTATCACTTATGCAATAGGAGTTGAATGTTAACTTCAGAAGCAGTGTCGTATTTTTCTTTTATTGCATTCCACATGTCTATGGAAGTTTTATAAGTTTCAAAAACTTTGATTAAATTATCTTTCATGAACATGAGCATAAGGCTTTTCGCCTTTGTCTTTCGACTTTCACTGTTCAAACTCTTTCTTTTCTTCAGGTGTTGATTTATCAGTAAGGGTTGGAGCAGTGATTTCGATTATATCATCAATGTTATCATGAATAAGAGCATATCCTATTTTTTTATACCACATATCATAATTACTGCCATTAATTTGTTAATTTTTTCTAGTTCTGATAGAACGAGTTTACTAGTCATTCGGTAGAGAACTAAAACTAAATTCAATTTTAAAATATGTATAAGGTTGATATTTTGACAAATACACTAAAAATAAAGTTAGATAAATAAATTAATTAATTAAAATGAACCTGACTGTTCCGACTGTTCCGAGTTGATGATAGATGCTCTAATTTGAGCGAGATTGTCACTTAGTGATGTTGACCGAAGAATCTGTTGTCGAAGTTTCGACGTCGTTTCTGACTGGATCCGGAGATAATCTGCTGTTGTTGTTGAGCTGGGCCGGATAGAATTGGCGAAGAATTGTTCGGACAAATCCCAATTGATTGAAAAACAGAATATTGAATTGCAATGGGCTAAAGTGACCTTTTTTATTTTATTTTTTTTATGGATCTGCTGGATTCAAAAGAACGAGGATAGAGGGATATTAGGCCTAGCTTTGATTTAAAATGAGATGGGTTTGGCTTTGGTTCAACAAATAAAAAATTGACAGGCTTTGAGTGAAAGTGGGCCTGGCAGGCTTTGATTTAAATAAGGGCAGAAGTTGAAAACTTGGCCTGGGTGATAATAGATCGGATCTGATTTAGCTAGGGTTTTTTTTTTAAAAAAAACCTCAAAGAGCAAGAGGCGGCTGGCTCCTCTCTACTCTTCTCCAAAAAGAAAAAATTCTCAATCTCGAGCTCGACCGATGGCCTCCGATCTCCTTCAGTCGTCGACGTCGCAGCAGGCTCGTCGTCATCGTGGTGGTCGTCGATGGCAGCGGAGTCGTCGTCGTGGTCGTCGATCGCAGCATCGTCGAAGGTCGTCGAAGTAGTAGATCGTAGCGTCGTCGAAGATGATTGATGCAGAGCTCGAGATGGCCGATCGATGCAGCTGCTCTGATACCAGTGATTGAACTCAAAGAAGAAGAAAGAACAGATTTTTGAGGGGGTCTCCGATAATGGGCAAGGATTTGATTTTCTTTTTTTCGTTGTTATGATTTCTGAAGGAGATCGACCCTCCTTTTATAGGGGCTAAGCCCACTATCTCCACCCCCTCAGATCCGCCCCTTGAGAGATATTCTCTCAACAAACCCACGTTTCTTTCCACGTTCTTCTCAAACGAACGTTGATTTGGTCATCCATGACCAAGTCAAGCTAACATGAAAACATAATCAAATTGGGAAAATATAAATGTGGACAGTAGAATAACCATCTTTTCACAATTAAGTTTTCAGAACATCGACAGCATACTAGGTATTCCCTTGTCACTTTCCCTTCTGGGAATGAGGTGGTGGCTAACACACATCTTAGAGTAGAAGGTTATTAACAATGCCAAACCAGTAAAATTAATTAATCATGCACCAGATGAGTTCAAGGAAGACAAATATCTAGGGATAGCAAATAAAAGTGAGGGTAGAGAGAAACGCATGTTTTTGGCTATTTTGCATCCTGTTGTTCAATCTAGTGTCAGGACATGTTATTGGCCATTTTGCACCAGACAGAAAAACCAAAAGTTGCCCAAAGCCCACACACTAAGGAGTCTAGTTTCCTGGATAGTGAGCTTTACAGTCTAATGACAAAAGGATCAAGTTAAAAGTTTTAACATGTGTAATTTTCTATTTAGTGTTTTTTTGGAGAAAAAGTGTAAGTTAACATCTTGGGCATCCAAACTTTGAAATATAACTACCAATTTAGTTTTCTTAACAGAAAAAGTGTAGCTTAAAATCTTGGGCATCCAAATTTTGAAATATAACTACCAATTTGATTAGTCAGGCAAACCATCATCTACATAACAAGAGAATTCAAAATATCACTAGTTCACAGCTCACAATATCACTTGTTTTAAGTATCACTTGTTCAAGTGACAGTGCAAACTAATTATAACTTACAGTGTTGCGCTTTGAACCTTGAAGCACTCCTAGCTAGCAGCCTTCCTCTTCCGACCCTTCTTCCCTTTAAGAGCATCTTCTTATTTCGGACTACCTTCTTCTTCTTCAGCTTTTGTTTACTGCGTGCAGTGTCTTGATATAACAGCAGGCAGTTAGAAAAGAGAAACGAAAGTAGAAGAAGGATTATAAAATGCTTACTGCAGCGATGCCATCCAATTCTCTCGAGCAAAATTTCAGAGTAGAGCTGGCTTTGTGTGAGCAGCTCGTCCAACTTGTCAAACATGAAGTCACGTTCCAACTTGACCTCGAGCTCTTATTGCTCTCGAGCTACGATTAACTTTTACTCCTCTTCAGTCATGGTCTCTGCAATGAGGGAGGCATCACCATTCTTAGCTTCTATAGCTCAGGGGGAAGGTTTCAGTGAGTCCCTGGTATTAAAAAGAAAGTATTAAACATGAAAATGTCAAGATCAAAGGAAGAAAATCCAAACTCTAATTTGGGGGAAATTGAAGGTCGCGCATGATTGATGAACCCTAATTAAAACAGTTAAAAAAACACAGCTTCCAACAGAAATCTACAGCATTTTCTTCTAAAGCAGCGATCTTTACAGGTTTGGGAGCATTTGAAAAGAAAATGAAAAGAATAAAGGAAAAACTTTCTCGTTCCGAGTCTACCGTGAAAATTGCAAAATACGAAAACATCTTGAACGAAAAAAATACCCTAGATTTTTCACAAATTGGGAATTACAAACGAAAACGACAAAAATTAAACGAAAAGTCCCCGAGAAAGGAGGAAAACATCTCTCTTTTATCTCACGCAGAGTTCCAATTATTATTAATTTTGAAATTAATTTGCAGAGGGAAACACTTTCAAAGAAACCAAAAACCCTGGGCTAATTCGTCTTCACGAACATTAGATTAAAGCGTAATAAAATAAAATACCTGACCTCTGGCTCTGAACTCTCGAACCCTAACCCTGGATGAAGCCTCAGATCGAATTCCGAACGAAGGAGAAGCCGGAGATGGCGCCTCTCCTTTTATAGACGAGTTTGCGCTCCTATTGATGAAAGGGCTTTAGTGTTGTAAGGCTCATTTAGTGTTTGTAAGGGCGTGGAGTTTTATTCTAAAAGTATTTAGGCCCATGACCTACCAATTTTTAAACTGCTCACATCGCAGGTAAATAACTACGGCTGCGTTTGGCAAGGGGATAAGGATGAGGGATTAAAGAGAAGGGTTAACTTAGTTAACCCATCATGAAGGGTTAAATAAATTCTAAACCCGTTTGGATAGGATAGTTAAAATAATGGGTTAAGTCTTTTGTGTTTGGCAAATGAAGAGGGGTTAAGGAGATTAATCCTTTTTTTTTTAATACCACTTTTGCCCTTATTGAAAATTTGTAAATAATTACATCATCAAAAACGAAAAATTTAGACAATTTGTTGTAAAGAATGGCAAGAGAAGTGATAAATGCATGAATTTCATTTACCAAAACTTAAGAACTCTGTGCAAATCTTAACCTCTTTACAAATAGACAGCCTCATATCATACACATCTGTAACAAACAATATAGATTAAACTTTTGTACATGTCTTGCAATTTCGGATAAATCTCTAGCTACTGGCGCATCTGGGAATAAAGCATTTGAAGCTACAGGTCATGGATCTGGGAATAAAGCATTTGAAACAGCAAGCCAAATCTGATAACGGACAAGGGTCTTAGCAAGCACAAAAGCTATTTAAAATCCTTCTAACAAAATCACATTCTCGCTTCCATTTCGACACATTTTAGGGAGCACACATGAAGTAAATGAATACAAAAAGCGCATCTACATTCAACAGGTAGATTGCAACTCTACGACATTGAAACACTTTTCCTTTTTCTTATAGTACACGCTGAAGCTACAAAACCATGTAAATCTTCTTCAACAATTGTGAATCTTTCAAATACCTGCAATAGACAGAAAGATGAGGAACTTCTTCAAAAGTTAAGACTCTAATAATTGAACTAAATAATATAAATATGGTCACATGTCGTCTGAGATTCAGTTTACCATCTCATCTAGCTTCTGTCTGTACCGAGCCAAGGTCTGCAAATGACAATAGAAAGTTATGTTATTCCTAATTCAAGGTAAGCTACATTGAGGATATTCACAAAATTACGGCAAATTATATATCAATACCTAAGGTAAGTTACGTAATGCTTCCACCAAAAGCTAGTTTGCTCATGGGTATGTCATTTAACTCTATAGGCCTATAGCAAGCATCTGTTATATGAACTTTTCAAATCAAGTGAAACAACATGATTTTTCAATTGGATATGGTCATGTGACAGGAAGGACCAAACAAACAAGATCATAACCATCATAATGATGAGGGATGTCTGCCCTCTCAGTCACAATTAAAAGTTAAACTGAGGATCATCGCAATCTCTATCAAAATTTTCAGCATAACCTGTGATAAACCAGATCGTGACTGTTAATAGCACCACAAATCCAAATGTCCCGCAAATCTAAATTTTTTATTCTGCTCCTAACGAGAACATCATTAAATGATGACCCACACCAACCCTATGTTCACCAGTCCATTAAGGGTCAAGATTTTACGAATTTATCTGCGAAAATAAATACAAGCAAATGGAATAATGGGTCCAATGAAAACAACACACCTACAATAAGTAAGAGTCTTAAGACATTACACAACACGCCTAACCATTTGTAATTTATGTTCCAGTAAAATCAGACAGAGAGCATGCGAAAGAACCTACAACATCTGTAATTTTCATATAATGTTTATACCTAGTCGATTGAGGATACTAGATTTCTTGAATTATTATAGAGCAACAAAGAATTATTATAGTGAAGAAGCAACATACCCTAGTATAAGCATAAACACTGGCCTCAGAAGGTGCAACTGGGCTCCCTCTTCAGATGAACTTTCCTTCTTTGAAAATATAGAGCATAGGAATTCCAGCCGATAACTCCAGGCTGATAACCTACAGAAAATTATGCAAACACAAGACATTAAAAGTTGATGGTTGAACTACAAATGTAAGTATGGGATAGGCCTCAATGTAAGTATGGGATATGCAAACACAAGACATTAAAAGTTGATGGTTGAACTACAAATGTAAGTATGGGATAGGCCTCAATGAGTTCCCATGTGCAGCAATCATAACATGTTTCCCATTCACAAGCTGAGGTTCAATCTGTTATCCTCAATGAGTTCCCATGTGCAGCAATCATAACATGTTTCCCATTCACAAGCTGAGGTTCAATCTGTTATGCAAACTGGTTTAGTATTCTGAAGAATCATAACATGTTTCCCATTCACAAGCTGAGGTTCAATCTGTTATGCAAACTGGTTTAGTATTCTGAAGATAAAGGAAGAAAAAAAGTTATGCTAACTCTTAAAGTACCTATCACTACATCAAAACTCCAAAGTCATGGTGAGGGGTGGGGGTTATTATTTTATATTCTAACATGTCTCCCGAAAGTTGAGAGTGTCCTTTTTATAGGCCGAAATCTGGATTCATGAGTAACATTTTTTTAATCCGCTTTTAATTCATGACAGTTGAGATTCGAACATGGGTTGCTCTGATACCATATAAAACACCTACCACTACACCAAAACTTCGAAGACATGGTAAGTGTCGTTATTGTTCTATGTTCTAACACTAAGTTAAGAGAATGTTTGACCAAGGTAATCATAAAAGAAAAAGCTTCAGTTCAAAATTTCAGATTCCACTTAATAATGATATCACTATCATGCTGCTAACAGCGAGAACAGTTAGTTGATCTTTCAATGAATATCAGAAGACATGATTAAGCTACACTTTCTTTCATATGTGTGTGTATAAAACTTTTTCTAGGTCAACCTGATGAAGAGCCTACTTTATAACTGTGTTTCCTGAATTCTACCACTTCATTTCGTGATTAGGTAGACCCGGTACAAAAAGTGAAGGAAGAAAAAAGTTCATTAGGATGGACTGAGTCGAGAGCCAGCAAAGGCTCCAAGTTTTCTTAATTATAAGGCCGTTCAAAAGTGAAAGAATTAAAGTTCTTTCTCATCCCTGTTTTCTCCCAGCTCCTGGAAATCTTTATGCATCTAAACTGCACTATGATAACCAAACCCTGATGATTTTGTTCCCGTTTGCATTCTAAAACATTTAAGGAAAAAAATAATGTACTGAAGCATGAAGAATCCATACATGTTCTTTGAAATAAGCAACAGCCCTTTCAGCACACATTTCCAAACTCTCGCCATTTGGAGGAGGAATATTATAACTGCAGCGTCACTCGTGAACTTTCTCCTTGCCAAAATTTTCAGCAGTTTCCTGCTTATTGAGGCCCAGTAATTCACCATACCTAGAGGAAAAAGAAATAGACATGAAATCGACATGGAATGGCTGAGTTCAGGTTAATGCCATTACAAGCAAATGAAGTCACCTAAAACAGAATAAGGAGGGAAATTACATTCTTTCGTTGAATTGCCAAGCAGTAACTACTGGTATTGACTGGTTCTGAGTTTCCCCACTATACATTTGGCTCCCAGTCTTAGCCTGTTCACTCTCGTTGTGCATGATAATTGGAACCAAAAAATAAAGGACAAATATTTCAGTGAAAAAATATGATAAAACTTTTCTGTCTTCATCAAGAAAGGAACAAAAAAAACAAAGTCAAAACAAAACCTTCTTGCGGGATGCTGGGTCATGGCAAGCATAGCGGTCATTTGGGCGCGAATCAAAGCAGATGTATAAATCATATCAACTGGAATATTGCTTATTCTTTTACCAGCTTCAATCGCCTCCTCGACACCCTTTTTGGTCAAAGGAACAAAAACACAACCAGTAAACAGATTCTTCTCGTTCCACAAGGACTCACCATGGCGAATCAATATAAGAGCAGTTTCATCTATAAACAAAATTTTTGGGGGAAAATCTTACACTGAACTCTTATAAGATTGGATCTCTCACTAGCAAGAAAACAATTTTACCTCCAACCCTCTTAGACTCACCTCAGACCCAAATGCAAACTCAACATCACAAACAAAAATTTACCCAATTGTATGCAAACTGAGGGCCCATAACCCCTCAGCCACATCAAACAATTTTAAGCTACAAGGATCAATTGCACTAAACAAGATCAAATCACTTCCCCAATTTACAATAGAGGAAATCGTAGAGAAGTGAACCAACCAAAATTTAACCAACAATTCCTTGTCATACACATTAGCTAACAGTTCTAAGGACAAACAATCATCATGAAAGACCTAATTCCTCTCCTAAATTGGGAAATTTTGAGCCACAACAAATCATTGTCGAAGACAAAATCAAATGACAATTAGTACCAAGAAACACACCTGTAAGAAGCGGCGCTCTTCCTTGGAGGTATCTACACAAATCGAATTAAAAAAGATCAACAAAAATTAGGAAATTGATCGAATTTTGCTGAAATTGACAAGTGAGATTTGAAGTCAAGAGTTGAGTACCAAATACACGTAGCACTCGTTAACTTGGAAAAGTATTAGTTCAACAGCTTCTGATTCCTCTTTCTCTTCTTCTTCATCGTCTCTGCGATGATCTAGGGTTTGATTGGATTTTTCGTCCATGAGAAAAATAATGGGAACTATGACTTTGTTTCTTTTTTTACTGATTTTTTGAGGATTTTTGTTTGGTGACCTTTGAGTATTAAATCAACATACCTCAAATCCTCGGCCTTCCGTCACTTGAGATCAACAACCGGTTGAGTGTGATCTGAGAAAATCCCACAAAGAAATTTTCCTCTACTTCTTTCCCTCCAAATTCCGTTGCCTGATTCTCCTAACTCCGCTGCCAAACTCCGCTGCTTTTTTCCTAAATTCCGTTGCCTACCCTCGCGTGAGAAGGCGGAACAAGCGTTGTTCCGCCTTCTTACGAGGAACAGTTAACCCTTGGTTTGACGGGATAAATGGGCTTTTGAGGTCACGTGCGGGATTGTTAACCCATTGTCATTTTTTTCTGTTTGGCAGGTTAATGAAGGGTTAAACCCCCTTAACCCTTCATTTATCCCCTTGCCAAACGCAGCCTACACGTATATAGATACCCGAAGGGGGGGAAAACTGCATATGTATATAGGGGGAAAAAAGATCTTCCCTTGTTAAGGTGCTTAACAACTTAAATTTTCTTTAATTTATAAAGGAGACAATTAGTTTAGTTTTCAAAAAAGAATTACGCTTTCAAGTTAATTTTTGCTATGCACCCAAGCTTAAACTTATGAACAGCATATTAAAAAATATATAATCCTCAATGATAATTACACCGCTCTTTTCTACGTCACTTCCGT